ATTATCAAGGCGGCGCGAATACTATCTTTACTTATCCCCAGTCAAGGATGCCTCGGGCGCCTGACGACGATAAGCCTCGAGTAATACACAAGGACAAGGAATCATCTGATCTTCTTTAAGAGGACCACCCCGATAGCTACTACCAAGATCCAAATGTTATTCCCCACGAACTTCAACAGTTCTCCGCCGGCCCTAAGTGCCAGGCCAAGAACGCTACCAAGCAGCCCAGGCAAGCCGGCTGCCATCTTTTTTCCCAAGTCCGTCAGCCCATTGCCTAATTTCTTTACGCCCGCGCCCGTAGCCTTAAGCGCGGATAGGATAACCCCTACTACGGTGCTAATAGCGACCGCGAATGCAAGGGGAATACCATACTTCAAAAGTGCTCTTTTTACCTTTTTCTTGGTGGTAAGACCCAACTCCTTTTCCAGGTTTTCCTTTTGCGCCTGTAATTCCGCAATCCTTTCCTGAAGGGTTTCTACTTCCTTTTGAGCTGCTTCCCTTTCCTCTTCGGGACGAGTTTGGTCATTAATTACCTTCTGTTGCCGCTCTATTTGCCCCTCCAGGTCTTCAATGGCCTGATCTCTTTGCCGGATTTGCTCTTCTTTGGTGTTAATTTCGGCAACCAACTGCCGCCGTTCCTCCAAAGAGCCGGCTATGGTGATATGCAAGTTTTTGGCTTCCTCCTTGCTCATATCCAGGTCTTGCAGGGCAAGATCGAAGGCCTTTTGGGCTTGGTCCCTATCGCGTAGGGCATTGTCTTTTTGTTCTCTCATTTCTATCATTCGCTGATTCTTGTCGTTGACTTCTCTTTTTTGAGCATCGAGAAGCAGTTGGTTCTGTCTCATGTAATCTGCTTCCCTTTCCTCCAGTGTTACTTGCAGCTCCTCGACGCGTTTTTCTAACGCAACCCTCTCATTCAGGGTTTCCAATCTTTCTAGGTCACTTCGGGTAGCTAGTTGAAAACCTCTTAATCTCGCCACGTCACCCCTAACTTCACCATCTTCATCAAAAAGGGGTTGCGGTTTCGTCCAGCGGTTTTTGTCGGGAAATCTCAGGTCTTGGACGCTTATGAAGACTCTACCGCCGCGCTCGGTAAGCCTTACTTCGTCTGAGTTAAAGTTGGAATACGTATCTTTTAGCCGCTGCATGGCCGAGTTTACGGTGCCTAAGTCCTCTAGCTCTATGTGCTCGCGCGTAAATACGTACTCGCGTGCTTTGGGATGTCTTAGGGCCTTTGTGATTCTATTTCTTAGGGAATCGTCAGGTTGTTGGGTGGGAAGCAGCGGTTCTTCGTCGCCGTCGTTAATGTCTTCCTTACCTTCCTCAGTGGTGGGGTCGAAATCCGTTCCTTCTTCTTCCATTATATATGATAAGCTCAAAGTTAAACCCCAACGTATTACCTAAGCAGGTTGGCGGACTAAAGGCAGAACGCATCTTTCACCGGGTCACCTTTACCCCCAGCAGCGCAAAACCAGGAGAAACCTTGTACGTAGGTGTGCCCCGTCTAACGGATAACCTAGTCTTAGTACCCGGCACCTTGGCTTTAAGGTTCGACTTAGCGGTGCAGCCAAGCACAAAGGACAAGCGTTACACCGTTAATAACGTGGGCAGGAACATCGTCTCTAAGAGGAGAATCAAGTTCGCAGGGGAATCCCTCTTGGATTTAAATAGGTACGATCTGTACACCACGTATAAGGATCTGTGGCTAACAGCCTTCGACCGTGCGCAAAAGATAGAGCAAGGAATTGGAAGCGTTATCCTTCGTAAGCTTCGAAGCGATACCAACCCGGCGCCTACGGACTCCAGCGGAGCAATCGCAGTAGCAGACGCGACGAGGGTAAAGACCGCCTATGGTAGCAAGTACGTTATCCCTTTGGATTTCGAAGTAATTACGAACCACGGTGCGTATTACCCCAGACAGTTATCCGAGTTACAGTTTGAAGTAACCTTGGCGGACACTACGAATGTCATAGGAGGAATGGACACCGCAATCAGTGGAGCCGTGGATCCCTATTCTATCACTAACTTAGAGCTGCAGTACGAAACGGTATACAGCGAAGAGTTGGCCCGTAGCGCCGGTATGGAATATAGCGCCGGAAAGGCATTCCTTTACGACCACGTAGTGATGTACAAGACATTTAGCTTCTTGGATAAGACGGATGAGGTTATCAACCAAAGCATTAACCTCCCCCGAAGAAGTCTCACGGGGTTGATGTTGGTGTTTGCCAAACCCTACGAGGCCGGTAAGCGCGACTCCGAGGCCTTTCACAACCCCAACATTACTAACGTGGGGATAAATGTCAACGGCGTTCCAAACAAGGTCTACTCCCAGGGAATAAAGCCTGCAGACGTGTACAGGGAGGCAATGCGTAAGTTTGGTGACCAGGTGAGCCCTGAGGAATTCTTTAAGGATATATATGAGTGGGAAACATACTGACTTACAGCATGTACATAAAACACAACAGAGAATACAAATCATGTTTAATTATTATACATTATTATTTGATTACGATGTTTCAATGTATAACACATTTGATGTTACTCGTTTTCTGGTTACTCTGTTGACTCTTTACTCGTTACTCCGTTACTCGTTTTAGTAACACCCTATGGTGTGTATGGGAAACGCACAGTACTGACTTACAGCACTTTCAAGGTCTATGGTATGCCGTAATATTGAAATGACTTCCCATAAGAATAGTTAGCGTATTAGTGGGAATCATACGGTACTGACTTAAACCCCTGTCACACGGTACAATTTCTCGTGCGACAGAGACAAGTTGCACGAGCATGTCACCCCTAAATTTTTATAAAAGCTGTTGCGGAAAGTAGAAGCCGTTTCTACTATTGTCAGTGGTCTCACTGGTATAAATGTATGAGAATTGATTAGCATATCAATCATTCCACTTCAAGACTGCTACTGCTCGGACGTGTTCCTTCTAGCTCAGGCTTTACCAAGACTTCGAGCTTTACTGAGGCTTTGAACAATGTCTAATACTCTGGAAGTACCGCAGGACATAGCCTGCTGTGCAGACGTTTTTAGTGTCGGCTCGTTCCTTTCCCTCCCCACAAACGTCTGCTCAAACTAGCCACACATTCCTTTCCCTTAGATTGACCAACCAGAGCGCGCCTCTCGAAATGCTGGAAGTTGACCTTTACCTTGGCTTACTTTCGATATCGACGAAGCCTTTAGAAATGTCTGCGAAATTTAGATAAGCGATCTTAATTCGTAGCAGAAAGAAGCCTTAAGGTTCTTCGTCTCTGAAAAACGAGACGTTTTCGTAAATCTTTTGAAAGGAGCTGGAAAATCGATGGTTTACTGTTTGAATCATAAAGACTGAGATCGATCTCCAGTGCTTTTTCGATAAGTTCTTTGATGTCGACGGTAGATTTGTCATATATCATTATCGTTTCATTTACGACTCCCTCACATGAACATAAAAAGCGGTTAGATTCAGCTCCTACAACTTTCTAATGAGTCCTATTCATATAGATTTGGAAATCATTAATACTTTATACGAGGATTTACGAACTTTGGACGCTACGCTTTCACAGGAATTTGAATGTGGGCAGTTGTTTACATTATTTGTTGGCGTTGCTGATTGTTCCGATTAAACATAGGGAAAGGATTGTGTGGCTAGTTTGAGCAGAGGTTTGTGGGGAGGGAAAGGAACGAGCCGACACTAAAAACGTCTGCACAGCAGGCTACGCAGGACAGGGTCGTCGAAGCGCTTGGAGCTGTCCGAGGCAAACAAAATGAAGAACCAGTTCAAGATATCCCAGGAAGATTTCACTGACCGAAGGGGCAGACTCTCCAGCGCTTCTTAAGGCAAATATATTTTCCCTTTTATTTTTTATTTTTTTGTTTTCATATTAAACTATGGTCAAGAAGAAAAGTAGTTTATGGCCTTTCCCTTCGTGTGGTTGTGTTTTAAAACGTAGTAGTGGCGTTTGTGGAAATAAGTTTTGCCTTTTGCCTCGTGTGGTTGTGTTTCAAAACCCTCAAGTGGCGTTTGTGGAAATAAGTTTTGCCTTTCGCCTCTGTGGTTGTGTTTCAAAACCCTTGAGTGGCGTAGTGTGGTCTAAGTGTGAATATTCTTTCGATATGTTCTTTGCGGTTGTGAAGCCTTTTACATGTTTTTCGTTTGTAAGTATGCTAATAATATTTGTGCGGTGGTAATTCATGCACCCTAAGTTGTTCAAGGCATTTTGTTTGCTTTGCGCACCGTTAAGCTTTCGCGGTCCCTCATGCAAGTTATGCAGGGGTTTTTCTTTTATTTTCCAGGAGCACAAGGCTCTCTTTGGAGTATTTCCATTTTTGTATATAGCTGCGATAAAAATTGCTGTATTTCGATATTGGGTCTAAAAAGTGTTTGCCCTCCCGATCTAGGATGACAGTTTTGAAGGGGAGTCTAATTTCCCAGTCGGATTACTGGCGCTCAAGACTGTCATTCCCTGAGCCACTTCCTCCTTGTTTATTGTTTCTCTTTTTCTTTTTGGCTTGTTTTTCCTTCGCAGGAATAGACTCKGTTCTCTGTAGTCTGTTCTTCACCCGTCAGTGACAGACACGCCGTCATTGGTGTGAGAAGTAATTATATTATAGATAATACTAGCTATCTAAAATATTAATATGAATTAATCTTTATCAGACTGATAAAGTAATCAGAGAATCCGATGTAGGAAGGTCGCGTTTTGTAGCAGCCTTTTAATCCAAGGAACTGAATCCAGGGTTGTACTACCACCCCAACTTAGGTAGGGGTGTGCCGCCAGGACCTCAAAACCCTAACCCTATCTCAGACCTAAGATTTTGATTTTACATACCCTACCCCAGACTAAAACTAAGAATKGTATACCCTATCCCAGACTAAACCCCAACATGTATATCCCAAAAACGGTTATTCAATCGATTACAATCAATATTTACTAACATATTTATTGTTTTTGTGCCGGCAGAAAGCGTAGCCTATTCGCCAGACAAAAACGACCGAATCGTAACCCTATCCCAGACAAAAATGATACCCTATCCCAGACAAAATGTCCAAGAATGTTACCCTACCCCAGATCTAAAAACCGAAAAACCATACCCTATAGGGCGGCGCATACCCGTATAGCAAATATAGGGGAGTACCCCCCCC